ACCAAGAGCTTGTATCACTTCAAAGAGAAAGGAAAAATTTAAATTGCATCATATGACCCCTTTAAACTAGGATATGATTACAGATTTTCAAGGAAATTATCAGGTGGAATGTTATGTTTGTAATAGGAAATGAGTCCTGTATGTTGGACGTTTTGTAACTGTACACCCCTAAGTGTTTCATCCTGTGACCTCGGCTTTGCTGTGACTCGTATAGTCAGATGAGACATTGTTCTGAACATCATACAGTCAGCTGGATGAAGAAACATATATTTAGTGAGTGATGATTAAATGCTTTTTAGCAAGAACCTGAGGAATTTTATGCTTGCTTGCTAAGAAAGTATAATTAAATGAGACATACTTTGAGAGGAAGCGGTTTAAAAGTGCCTTCTGCCCATGTGTCCTGGAGGAGCTTTCCTGTGATTGGGGCGGTACAGAATGCTTCAGTTCCATAGGTTATATATATATATATATATATATTATATACTCCTTGAGCCCTACAGCCAAGTTGAGCAAGTGCTAACTTGCTTATCAAATGCTTTCAAAGCACAACTACACGATTTTTTAAATTGAAAAAAGGAGGGTCATCTCATCAAACGCATTCTGTTATATACTTTCAAATAAAACACTTTCTAATTACAGGTCTGTTGGAAGTATCAAGATGATAAATGAAATGACCTCTTGTTTGTAATGTTTAACATTAGCTTTTAAGCTTTTAATGAGGTTTGGTCTTAACCAGTATGCACTTTCATGGATGTCAGTTCATTTTTAGATACTTTTTAAACAACAGGAGTAATTTCATCCATTTTACAAGGCTAGTGTTTAGGCCTGTTTACACCAAGACAAACATTCATTGTGATAAACATTTGAATTTGATGAAACGGCTGATAATGGATCTGATCAGACTGACACAAACATTTGCATGCCTTCAACGTGACTCTTTTTTTTCTTTCTTTTTTTACAGATAGGTGTTCTTAAGGAACAGTTCACCCAAAAAAGAAAAAGTAATTATTTACTCACCATCATGTTGTTCCAAAAATACCTGAATTTATTTATTCTGTTGAACACAAAAGAATATATTTTGAAGAATGTTTGTAACCAAACATTTGCTGGTAGCCTTTGAGTTACATGGTATTTTTTTACTCTTTACTCTATACTATGGAAGTCAATGGCTGCCATTAGCTGTTTGGTTACTAGCCTTTTGTGTTCAACAGAAGAAAGAAAATCATACAGGCTTAGAACAAGAGGGTGACTAAATGATGACAGAATTTTGCTTTGGGTGAACTATATCCCTTTATACCAACCAATAAGATTCAGGCTTTTTAGTCACATGCCCAGAACCACTGCTGTTACATAAAACTAATTTGTTGGCACTTACAGACAATAGTGTCTGTAGCACAGCATGGTTTTTTCTTGCTTTTCCATAAACGCCACCTACTGTCAGGGAGAGAAATTGCATTTTCATTCAGCACTTGTTCCCTTTTTTATGCATTTGGTCTAAATAGACAAATTGAAAGCAAAAATTGGACCGCATATTTGTTCCAATCAAGGAATTAATCTTGGTATAAACAGGCTTGTTTATTAAGGCTGCGTTTTAACCGAGAAAAAAAACCTTAAATACACTACATCCGTTTTTTCTAGCAAGCTAGTTGATTTAAAAGTCAAGTTAGAATTCAAACTTAATTTAAAACCTAGAAATTTTAAACTAGCCTTAATCATTTGCTTTCGACATCCTCCTTTTAGATTGATTCTTTTTTGTTTATAAATCTGCCACAAACATTAAAATGAGGCAGGCTTTTGTTTCATAAGCTTGTTTTTTGGTATACTCCGGTTTGTTTTGTTATATGGATAGGATGAAGTTGTTTTGCTATGATGGTGTGGAGTGGAGTGACAACAGAGACTGGTTATGATTCCTTGAATGTTCTGACTGACAGACGTCAGGTCACTGAGAGCACAGAGAATGAGCCAGATGTGACGAGTTTATGTGAGATAAAACCGTGGAGTAAAAGCCTCTAAATGCACTATACAAGCACATCTTGAGGTGATTTTGAGTGACAATTAATGAAGCTTGACAGCCTTTATGAGCAACTGAATTTACGCAGGTAAATTACGCATTTTAGTGACAGGCCTGTAGTGTCAGTGTGTTGTGATCGTGCAGAAGTGGGTCTGTTCTTTGTCATTTTTTTTCTTCAACTCCTTTTTAAAGAGAGACTAATTGTATGTCTGTTTTCCCTCTCTTTGTAAGTAATGACCTTACAGATTCAAAGATAAGCTAGCTTGAATATCTCTCTTCCATTCAGTACAGTTACAAATGTTTACAGTATCTAATTAACCAAATAGAAGATGTATTTTCAGACATGCTCTGTCTGGTCCTGAAAGGAGTCTGTTAGACGGGGTTTCTTGTCTTTTTTGTGCCTCTGTTGTTTTAAACTTGAAGATTTTGTTTTCATTTTTTGTTCAACAGTGCTCCCTCACCTCACATATTTTCTTCTGAATAAAAAGGAAGTTTAATATGGTCTGTTAGGTTGCAGCTGTGACCCAGAGCAGGTTTGCTAGCTTTCTTCTTCATTTATAATTTTTTTTCCATAGCAGACATATTTTTCTTTTTCAAGTCTCAAGTTACATAGAATAATAAAAGTCCAGATGGAAAGTTTATAATAATTATAGACTGAATTTTAACTTCCTTCTATAGTCTCAGTCAGAGTAAGAAAATTAGTAGTTATTTTTTCCTCTTCCGTCTTTCGACGACAAGATGTATACTGAAAAGTAAGATACAGCAGGGCCAAATATTTAATAGACATTTGTTTTTGTTCTATTATAACAGAGTATGGAATACATTTGTCATGCATAGTGGTTATGACATAACTATGGAAGCTTAGTTTGTGCCACAATTCTGTCTTTTTTCTGGCACGTCTGAGTGGGAAAAGAAGTTGGAATTGTGAGATATAAAGTCAGACTTGTGAGATATAAACTTGCAATTGTGAGGTAAAAAGTTGGAATTCCTTTTTTTTTTTTCTTCTTCAATGGCGGAAACAAAACAATTATATATATATATATATATATATATATATATATATATAGTGAGTTTATATCATAATTCTGAATTGTGAGATCTTTTTATCCCATGGTGGAAAAAGCTTTCATACATAACCACTAATTATACTTTACCTCTTTAAACTAAACTAAATGATACCATTCTGTCTTGTTTCCCCTGTGTGTGTGAAGTAGTCTGTTGAAGATAATGCAGTGCCATCAGACATGGAGGGGGAGCACTGTTTGTTACCCAGTACAGTTCTACTGGATGCGTGTGTGCACAAACTTTGTACATACTTTTATTTCCTTTTACTACTTCTGTTCTCTCCAATCTGTTTTTGGGTGCAGATTTTTCTGTGTACAGTTTGCATCAGTGTTGTTTGTCTGTCAAACAGGTACATAAGCATTACAGAGATACGGCTCTTTAATAGGTAGATGGAATTATTTTTAAGACAATAAAAAGATGGGTCTATTGCACCTTCTTGTCTGTTGTCATCACTTGGATCTTGTGATGTGATCCGAACAACTTGCTTTTACAGCGAATGTCATGCTGAAGCAGCAGAAAGTACCGTGACCCAGAACTTTGTTGTGTCAGTTGTCTTTTGACAAACACTTTGGCGTGTGCCCTTACATTACCTGATGGTGGAAAAATCTGATCAACTGTAGCGCCGACCTAGAGAATGTTTCATTGTTTGACCTACAGCTGGATCAGGGTCGTTTTAAATCTTGAAATATGCTGCCAACACTTTTATGCTGCCCTTCCTAATAATAGCTGTTGTTTGACGCACATATAAAGTGAATGTTCCTTGTTCCGTCTGTTCATGAATGAACCTATTTATTCCCCAGTGAAGGGAAATTTTCGCCAATTGCATAGTCAAATGAAACAACCCGCATGCCTTGAAAAAACTGGTCAGTGCAGGTGTTATATTGTGTTTTTAATTCACAATTGGAACTAGTGTTGAAAAACAAAGTGAAAAATTACTCACTTGGTCATTAAGAAGAAAATTATTCTTTTAAAGAAGTAGTTCACTTCCAGAATGAAAATTCTGCCATCATTTACTCACCCTCCACTTGTTCCAAACCTGTATCAGTTTCTTTCTTCTGGTGAACACAAAAGAAGACATTTTGAAAAATGTTGGTATCCGAACAGTTGATGGGCACCATTGGCTTTTTATCATACTATGGAGGTCAATGGTGCCCATCAACTTCGGATACCAACATTTTTCAAAATGTCTTCTTTTGTGTTCACCAGAAGAAAGAAACGTATACAGGTTATTAATTAAAGATTGCGAGGTCACATTAATTTTAAATAAAATGTGCATGGATAAATCATTTGGAATGAACAATGCAATATTCCATAAAAACACATTAGAACTGTCAATTTTGAATCTACAGTTTTATAATGTGGATCAATCAGTTTATGCAATCAGGGGAACATTTCACATGTACATTGTTTCCTTTTATGGAGCTTTGCCACGGACATCATATTTCATGGCATTAAACAGCTCTGTTCATGTGACTGTTTACACCAGTCATGTATAAAGTTCACACAGAAACAAGACATTTTCATTTATAGGTAAAAACCTTGCAAAAGGCAACTCATTTGAGAGCCTTCAAACTCTAAAAGTAAATTGTCATGTTGCCAGCTGGGATTAAATCGCTATTCTAGTAGTTATTTTGGTCAATGTTCTGTACTGTATGTCACTGACGTTTAAAAAATAAAAATAAAGTGCAAAGTTCCAACAAGTTTTTTTTTTTAGTTGTTGTTGTTTTTTGTTTTATTATTATTACTTTAGAAATACAGCCGATATATTCAGTTTGTTTTCATTATAGTCTTCCTCGTGATAGGGCAATAATGTTTTGTGCTGTAATAAAACTCTCCAGCATTTACAGTGCAAGGTTTTGCCGGATTTTAATGACGTCACGTAACTATGCACCAATCAAAATGTGGCACCGGTGTGGGAGGAAGAAAGTTTAAAATGTAGGACACACTCATTTTCATTCAAAGATCCAGGCGAGCTGGTGGACAGGAATCATGCTCGGCTTTAAAGTGTCTGTGCTGCTCTTCGCGGTATGTTCGCTGAGTAAATGCAGCGGCAGGTTTGCAAACTCCTGTAATTATCCACCTGCACAATGGTGCGACTCTCAAGACATTGCAGCCCAATGCGGGGTAAGTGACTCTTGCATTAACAAAACTTACGAATTCGTCCTTAAATTTCATAACATGAAACGATTAGGACGTTTTAATAGAATTTCCTTTTGTCAATAATTTTGCTAACTCGGAAAAAATAAAACTGCATTTGAAGTTACATTAGAAAGGCTACACTGGATATGCAAATCGTCCTGACATGATATGTCTATTTACACTTCTCGTTTTTATGATTTCGATTTTTTTTTTTTTTTTTGCATTTTTGGGCATCAAAGAAGGCGGACGCCCGATTATTATGAACGAAGCTGAGCGTTTCCCTTTATTCTCTTCTTTATTAGGTGCTGGAACAATGCATGAAGTTTAACGTAACAAAGCCCAACGCTGCCCCGGTCAATGTGAGCCTGTACTATGAGTCTCTGTGTCCTGGATGCAGACAGTTTCTTGTATTGCAGCTCGTGCCAACCTTCATTATGTTGCAGGACATCATGGGTATTGATTTGGTTCCATATGGAAATGCACAGGTATATTTACACTCCCAACTGTTGCTCAGACAGTTTACCCCAGTACAGACAGACATCACATTACTTCTATTTACATATTATATGACTAGCATCTATATCGCTATTTGCACTTAACAAGGTGTAAACGAGATATTTACTTTTGTTCACAACTTGTAAACAGTCTTAACATAATTTGCACCGTGCAAATGGCTACCAATTTCTTTTACACACAGTAAAACTAATAAGTTAAATGAATGTTCAAATGCTGTTCGTAATGTTTTCGCAATAGGAGAAAGATGATCAAGGGAAGTACATCTTCACTTGTCAGCATGGAGAGGATGAATGTCTAGGTAACATGATTGAGGTGAGGTTTTGCCATTTATTTCACCCCTAAAGCTTTTTAAAGCAGATTGATGTTAATATTGGAGGCAGCTTGGTTGCATTTGAAATGCAGGTATTATAATTGTAGTCTTTTCTATCAGACCTGCTTGTTGAACGAGATATTTACTTTTGTTCACAACTTGTAAACAGTCTTAACATAATTTGCACCGTGCAAATAGCTACCAATTTCTTTTACACACAGTAAAACTAATAAGTTAAATGAATGTTCAAATGCTGTTCGTAATGTTTTCGCAATAGGAGAAAGATGATCAAGGGAAGTACATCTTCACTTGTCAGCATGGAGAGGATGAATGTCTAGGTAACATGATTGAGGTGAGGTTTTGCCATTTATTTCACCCCTAAAGCTTTTTAAAGCAGATTGATGTTAATATTGGAGGCAGCTTGGTTGCATTTGAAATGCAGGTATTATAATTGTAGTCTTTTCTATCAGACCTGCTTGTTGAGTATGTTAGGAATAGACGCTTTTCCAGTCATTTTTTGCATGGAGTCTGGAGTAGATGTGTTGAAAGCTGCCCAGCCTGTAAGTATTTTACCTTCTCTTTATTTTATTTATTATTTATTGTAAACCCCGATGCAATGCTAATCTGTACCTCTTATCTCAGTGTCTCGGAGTCTACTTTCCTGATACAAAGTGGGATTCAGTCATGAATTGTGTGAAGGGAGATGAGGGCAATAAATTAATGCATCAAAATGCAGTGAAAACAAATGCTCTGAAACCCCCTCATGAATATGTGCCTTGGATAACTGTTAATGGAGTAAGGATACGTATTTGTTTATTTACAAGGAAAATGTTTTTTTTGTTCAGTGTTTCCTGGTGATTAAATGGCACATTCTTGTTCCTGCAGGAACACACAGAAGCTCTTCAGGATAAAGCGATGGCATCTCTCTTCAATCTTGTGTGCAGCTTGTACAAGGTTTGTTTGTAAACCTGAGAGTGTTTATGATCATTTTAGTGTTTTATCTAGTCAACGAAGAGTCCATCACGATGTCTTCATTCTTTGTGTTCATACAGGGTGACAAACCACCTGCTTGTGGTCAAGGGTTGAAGAAGAAACCCAACAGTTACTGCATGAACTAATCAATCACTACGATAACAGTGCTACTCATGTCAAGACTGGAGAAAATGCATGAAACCTAAGCGAATGCATGCTGCAGTGTTTTGTTGTTCTCTTTTTATGGTTGTATGTACATGAAACCCTAATTTTGTACATGGGTTTTCGGCTGCAAATGACAACTGGTGACAAGACCGTATGTTTATCCAGTCACATTTTAAAACTGTTTTGTATGCATAAACAAAATTAAAAAAGCAAATTTCCATCACCTTTGCATTTTTTTAGTTTTAATGGACTTGTGTTAATGTTTTTTAAGAAATCAGTCAATGCTAAAGTGGACTTTACTCCAGAGAAATGCTTCCGCGGTGGTTTCACATTTTTGCTTATTAACCTGAGTCCTACATTATTTTGACCTACAAAGTGAAAATACTTTGGGTTTATAAATATAACAGCTAACGTTAATATAAAAACTTAAAGAGTAGGCACTCGAAAATCAATGATGAGCTGTAATCAGTGTTCAAACGGGAGGAAACTATTGATGGGTCAAACTGATGTAGCGAGGTTTTGCGCAACCAAGACGCAATCTTGATGTTCTAGAGGGCAAAGCCATCACGCGCGTGACTAGTCACCGGCTAATGCATGCTCCGCTGGGTTCTTATGAATTAAAGCTAAAGCTCTAAGTGTGTTAGAGATCTAATTGCAGCCGAACTGGACAATTTGGGGATATCGGAACAACTCTGTTTTATTTATCTATCTGAGAGTATTAAGGAAGATGCATTCCTTTCTATTTTAAGTTAGTAAAACTTCTCAGTATTTAAACATATTGTTGGGGTACCTTACGCCATATATAAACGGACATAGGTGGCGAATGAAGTCGTCAAGCGTTGATCGATCGGAAACTTGACAGGAATGCAAGTTAAATCGACCTAAACATGATATCTCGTCAGAGTAAGGATTTTCTCATAAGGATCGCCGGTTACTGGAAGCCGCTTTTCCGAGGCAGATTTCTGATCGTGACAAACACGGTGAGCAGCGGAGGGATGTTGGCGGCGGGTGATTTCCTCCAGCAGACGCGAGAGAGACGGAGGACGCCCGGCCGAACACGTGACTGGCCGCGTACAGGTGACAACAAAACTAATTGTTACCAAAAACCTTTGGCTTGTTAAGAAAGGAGATAATCTTTGTCGTTTCTGTGCCATTGGGTAGTTACTTAAAACGGTTTTTTTTATGGTATCGTGTGAATATCCTGTCATAAAAAGTAACGCGAGATTTATGAACTCTCGCGGTGTTGCGCCCCCATAGGTTGTATGTTTGCCGTCGGATGCTCTATGGGTCCCTTCATGCACTACTGGTACCGGTGGCTCGACAAATACTTTGTAGGCAGTGGCATCAGTAATGTCTGCAAGAAAGTGCTTACTGATCAGCTGGTCGCATCGCCAGCACTGGGGGCCTGGTACTTTCTAGGTAAAACCCATTTTCTATTTCTATATATATTCAAATGTTAGCATGATTTCTGACGGATCATGTGACACTGAAGACTAGAGTAATGACTGCTGAAAATTCAGATTTGCCATCACAGGCATAAATTACATTTTAAAATATATTAAAATAAAAATGTAGGCTATTTTAAATTGCAATAACATTTCACAGTATTGCTGTTTTGAATGTATTTTTAATCAAATAAATACAGAATTGGTTGAGATTTCTTTCAAAACATCAAAATCGCTATTCCTGTAGTGTAAATTTTACAGTAGGAGACTTAATGATATTGAAGTATTTAAATATTTATAATGTAAAAAAAGAAATGCGAGTATGAATATTACACCTGCGTGTTTATTTATTTATTTATGGAGGCATGGGTATGATGGAGGGTCACACTTTGTCTGAGGCACAAGCAGAATTCAGAGACAAATTCTGGGAGTTTTACAAGGTATGTTGCACGGTTAAGCATCTGTCCTTAGTGCAACCAAATGACTCAAGTTCATAGCTGACAACGTTTCATGACATACTTCTTTTTAGGCAGATTGGTGTGTTTGGCCAGCAGCTCAAATGGTAAACTTCTACTTCTTGCCACCCAAGTTTCGTGTCCTTTATGTGAATATAATTACCCTGGGATGGGACACTTACCTCTCCTACCTCAAACACAGTAAGAAAAGTTGCATCTGTCTCATAACAAATGGCATCACATAATAATACATTTGTGAGAATTACTTAATATTACTTCATTAATAATATAGTCTTGGTTTATTTAACTTCTGGCAAGATCTAAATTAAAGTGAGACTCTCTCCTCCCTGGTGTAAGCTTCCTTGTAACAGGAGATCATTGACATTTGTGTTTTTCCAGGAGACCAAGTAGAGACCACAAAAGAAGCTGAGTGAACTGCCTGAAGATGTCTGAAGAAAGAGAATATTTAAAAACTCAGCTTCAGTCACGAAAAAAATTATGAAATCTTATTATTCAAGACTGTGGATGGACAGCTTTTTGTTTTTAAATTTCACATAATATAATTCATATAATTTTATCCCGTAATACCAGGTACATTGGCAAAATAAATAAGGTTATTTGCCATTGATATTTAGTTTTTTAATCATTTAAAAAGTATTGAAAAATGTATTTGTCCAAAATCTGTGTATTTTTGACATGTGAAGGGCAGTTTATCAAATCACACTGTTTACATTATATTCTTATAATGGTATAGAATACAGTTTTTATAGTAATCTATAGTTATAGTTATCATGCTATTAATCACAGTAATTGCTGATATTATTTTCATATACAGTACATTGGAGAAATGCTGTAACGGATGCTGCTTGCTGCATAGGCAGTAATGTTACTATTGATTGTTACTATTATGTTCATAAATTGCCTTAACACATACATTTTTGCCTAATTAATTTGTAATTTTTTGATGATAAATGTATCCGTTGGATAGAACTTTTGATGTCTGCTTTGTCATTATGTGAAACTTCTTGAATTTATGATTATTTAATGGAAGAAAATAAAATTATTTTTTGTGTTGAATATTACTATAAATTAGAGTCAGATTTAACTAGATTTATGCATTATAACTTGAACTTTGAGGTTGAATCTAAATTTCAAAGAACACTTTTATTCATCTATCAAGGCATCTGTCTTTCAGTGGTGTATGACAGTTTTTGACGGCACGTGATCTGCTCTCCTGTCAGCAGCACAGACAAACCTGCTGAGTGAGAGTGACAGGACGCTGCTCACATTCATAGGGGCTCCCAAACTGTGATAAAACAGGTGTTCTGACAGGATGTTCTCACAAACCATTTGCTCTTGAGCTATAAAGGTTACTTACCACAAACAAGTTTTATTTTTTTAAATTTTTTTTTTGGAAGAGACCAGAATGCAACTCTCATGGATTGAAGATGTGCTTCAAAAATATATTTGTGAAATGGCTTTTTTTTTTTTGAAGAAGAAGAAAAACACAATACATCTTACCAGATCTTCTCAGTTTTAGTGGTAAGTCTTATTTGCTGCACATTCGAACCGTCATTATTAAAATAGTAGTTTTGATTATTATATTGATTGGCTTATTTATTGACTGGTGCTTAGTGTTTCTTATTATCTTTATATTATTTAACTATAGTCCTGTAGAAAGTATTTTTTTTCAGGCACCTGAAAAAGTCGAGTTTCTACTTTCTGAATAGATTTATTGTTATTTATCATGAAGCGTGTATTTTCAGAGTTGCCTCCCATTTCAACAATATGAAGATAATTTTTTCTTTGAAGTTTTTGTTTTTAAATTTCACATAATATAATTCATATAATTTTATCCCGTAATACCAGGTACATTGGCAAAATAAATAAGGTTATTTGCCATTGATATTTAGTTTTTTAATCATTTAAAAAGTATTGAAAAATGTATTTGTCCAAAATCTGTGTATTTTTGACATGTGAAGGGCAGTTTATAAAATCACACTGTTTACATTATATTCTTATAATGGTATAGAATACAGTTTTTATAGTAATCTATAGTTATAGTTATCATGCTATTAATCACAGTAATTGCTGATATTATTTTCATATACAGTACATTGGAGAAATGCTGTAACGGATGCTGCTTGCTGCATAGGCAGTAATGTTACTATTGATTGTTACTATTATGTTCATAAATTGCCTTAACACATACATTTTTGCCTAATTAATTTGTAATTTTTTGATGATAAATGTATCCGTTGGATAGAACTTTTGATGTCTGCTTTGTCATTATGTGAAACTTCTTGAATTTATGATTATTTAATGGAAGAAAATAAAATTATTTTTTGTGTTGAATATTACTATAAATTAGAGTCAGATTTAACTAGATTTATGCATTATAACTTGAACTTTGAGGTTGAATCTAAATTTCAAAGAACACTTTTATTCATCTATCAAGGCATCTGTCTTTCAGTGGTGTATGACAGTTTTTGACGGCACGTGATCTGCTCTCCTGTCAGCAGCACAGACAAACCTGCTGAGTGAGAGTGACAGGACGCTGCTCACATTCATAGGGGCTCCCAAACTGTGATAAAACAGGTGTTCTGACAGGATGTTCTCACAAACCATTTGCTCTTGAGCTATAAAGGTTACTTACCACAAACAAGTAATTTCATTAAATTTACAGTGAGCTACCTCAGTACTGTAATAATAGTTGTTACATGTCTGTATACTGTGTATAATTCAATTTTCAATAATTGATGTAGTGTCCGAGCCAGAAATTGACGTTTTGCACAGAGACAGAAGAGGGAGCTATTGTTCCCTAAAGACCAGAAAAATAACTCTTGACAATAAAACAGTCAAGACAAAAAGTCATAAACAGACTTAGTAAATGTGCAGCTACACATGAACTTTGAAGACTAACTAATTAACTTTAAGTTAAGTTTTGTTTATACTGCCATAAAATGTTAGCAATATAGGGTTAAGACTTGATGCATTTTTCCTCACATTACAGTGGCTTTCAAAATGTATTTAAAATGTCTAAACTGTCACACCTAAAAAGTCTGAATGTCACTGCACACATAACAAAACACCAAACCAAGCAAAAAAATAAAAAAATAAACCCAACAGGGTTACCACAGGGTGTAGTTTATCACCTTAGCTATGAAAATGATCCACTAATGTCTGATGAGATTTAAGTATTCATTCCTTTCTAGGGAAAAAAAAAATCTTACTGACCACAAACTTCTAAACGCTAGTGTAGGCTATATGTGACCCTGGAGCACAAAACCAGTCTTAAGTCGCTGGGGTATATTTGTAGCAATAGCCAAAAATACATTGTACGGGTCAAAATGATTGATTTTTCTTTTATGCCAAAATCATTAGGATATTAAGTAAAGATCATGTTCCATGAAGATATTTTGTAAATTTCCTACTGTAAATATATTAAAACTTCAAATTCATAGGCTATATGGTTGCAATTTACATTTTAGTTACAAATTTTGCCATTGTTTTAAAAAAAATGCTTTATTGACTGGCATTTCAGACTTTCAGTTATGCTTTCAAATTTTATGTCATATAGTCATGTATGTAGGCTATGTAATTTCACAGTATATCCACCTCCTAAATTACTACACTCGTGGTGTCACAATTCTATAATGGTGCAAAACTTTACTTAGGCTGATAGTTTGTGTGTAACACATGACATTTGTTTTTTTTATGACATTAAAATTATTTTTAGAATAATTGTACATAAATTGGTTAAGCAATTTATATTTATGAGAACCTTTTATACACCTTTTATACATATACTTAACTGCAGACACGGAAATGACATACACTATGTGGTACAACACAAATATTTTAGTGTCCCTTATTCTGTCCCTTATTTTTCTATAAAGAATCACACTTGTCTCTTATTTTCCTTTACTGAAGTTGCCAATCCTACACATGACCGTTCGTCATGTACCTGTTTTCAAAAGAGTGGCTTCATGGCAGCAACTTTAGATGGAGACGGAGCACTCACTGTTGTGCATGTTGTTTCGTGACTAATATAAGCAATAAAGACTTCTAATTTCATTAAATTTACAGTGAGCTACATCAGTACTGTAATAATAGTTGTTACATGTCTGTATACTGTGTATAATTCAATTTTCAATAATTGATGTAGTATCCGAGCCAGAAATTGACGTTTTGCACAGAGACAGAAGAGGGAGCTATTGTTCCCTAAAGACCAGAAAAATAACTCTTGACAATAAAACAGTCAAGACAAAAAGTCATAAACAGACTTAGTAAATGTGCAGCTACACATGAACTTTGAAGACATTAACTTTAAGTTAAGTTTTGTTTATACTGCCATAAAATGTTAGCAATATAGGGTTAAAACTTGATGCATTTTTCCTCACATTACAGTGGCTTTCAAAATGTATTTAAAATGTCTAAACTGTCACACCTAAAAAGTCTGAATGTCACTGCACACATAACAAAACACCAAACCAAGCAAAAAAATAAAAAAATAAACCCAACAGAGTTACCACAGGGTGTAGTTTATCATCTTAGCTGTGAAAATGATTCACTAATGTCTGATGAGATTGAAGTATTCATTCCTTTTTAGGGAAAAAAAATCTTACTGACCACAAACTTCTAAACGCTAGTGTAGGCTATATGTGACCCTGGAGCACAAAACCAGTCTTAAGTCGCTGGGGTATAGTTGTAGCAATAGCCAAAAATACATTGTATGGGTCAAAATGATTGATTTTTCTTTTATGCCAAAATCATTAGGATATTAAGTAAAGATCATGTTCCATGAAGATATTTTGTAAATTTCCTACTGTAACTGATGATGAACCGCAGCATTGCTTTGCAGAGACGCTTCACTTTGGCTCACACTCCCAGGTAGGATCTGAATCATTCTGAATCGTTCATTTAGTCTCTTACCGGGAGGCTTGGCTTCAAAAACACACACAGGAGTCTTGTGGCGCAGGCATCTACGTAACAACATATCACAAGGCAAATTTTGTGGCTGCCTGAGACATTCGCCCCCCGTCCAAAGTTTGTATTGATGCTAACACTTCTAGCTACAATAATAATCACTATAATCAAGGAGGTGGTTTGTCTGCTGTGTGGAAGCATAAAAAGATGTCTTTGTTTGGGAGGATGTCTTGACCTGAAGTAGTTATTGTCAGCCTATCTCAACAGAAATCAAATGAACTGCTTTTTATCCATGTAGTTCTACTGGTTCTGTCTGTTAAGCCTGGTAAAGTCCAACCAGGTAGTAAAATGAACTCAGGATTAAATTAGCTCTTAACTTCCTGAGATAACTGGTTTTATTGATGTCAATCTTCAAACACCAGCAATTATAATATTCGCATTGTCTGAATCACGTGATTCTTCACCTTCAGTGTTTTGAGGTCAAAAAAAGTTATAAAGAAATAAACTTTTCTGACATTCACGTTTTGCTGAAAAATCTATTACTTAGCATTAGGGTAACACACAGTACCATTTAAAGGTTTGGGGTCAATAAGACTTTTTTCTTTTATTAAGAAATTAATACATTTATTCAGCAAGGTCATATTACAAACTGATCAAAAGTGACCATTTACAATATTACAAAAGATTTATATTTCAAATAAATGCTGTTCTTTTGAACATTTTATCCATTAAAGAATCCTGAAAAAATGTATAGAGTTTCCACAAAAATAATAAGCAGCACAACTGTTTTCATCGTTGATAATAAGAATTGTTTCTTGAGCATCAAATCAGCATATTAGAATTATTTCTGAAGGATCATGTGACACTGAAGACTGGAGTAATGATGCTGAAAATTCAGCTTTGCAATCACAGGAATAAATTACATTTAAACTATATTAAAATGGAAAACACTTATTTTAAATTGTAATAATAAAAAATACAGAAATTGTAGTTTTGATCAAATAAATGCAAGGAAACTACTTTCAAAAATATTTAAAATCTTACTGGCCTCAAACTTTTGAACGGTAGAGTATAACTGTAAAATGGAGGGGAAAAAATATTATCAAGCCTGAAAAGCAAAACAATTCAGAACTTGCAAACCACGCTGACAACCTAAAATGTATTATTTGACACAACTGCTGACTTGGGTATATCAAGGTCCAAAAACTACACTGTACATATGTTTTGAGAGGTAACCTAAAAATATAACATTCAGCTAAATAACATAAAAAATTAAATAAAAAAATGACACTATAAAATGATGATCACTAATTTGGCTTCCAGCAATGCAGTCTGTATGAATGTTTACATGCACTAATACCCAAAAACAAAAATTACAAAACAAAAAAACATATAATGCAGAACAAAGCCTGTTAAAATCCTTAAAACTGGACTTTTGGAAGCCAGTGCCAAAATATTTCTCTAACGCCTGTGCCTTTGACATGTTACAGCCTCTGCTGTTTCTGTGTCTGTTAAACTTCCAAGATTTGAGGAAGTCAGAGCCTGACAACACTGTAAACATCCCCAGCCATGCACGCACACGCAATAAATGTTGAGAAATAATTAGCAGAGCTCAGAGGAGGTGTAATACTTGAAAACTGTGAAATAGACATTACTTAAAATATTTATTAACTGCTTAGAGTTATCAAGTTTTTTTTCCAAGAGGTGACCAGTGAACTCCGAAGTTGTTTATCTGAGAAAAGATCTGCAAGAGAACCGTTTCAGCTGAAATGTTTAAACACAGGTCACCGTGTTCATGTCAGCTGATTTGTGTGATGTAAGTGGAAAGAGTCAACCTGTCATCTGTCTAATGGACTCTAAAGCAGTTCTCTTGGCTCGGTGAACAGTGGAAGTCCACACAGGTCAAATGTGACTTTTAATGCTGAAAAGATCTTTCTTGTGTGTGTCAAGGATTTGGGAGAAAGAAAGAAACAGGCTGTTAGAGAATTATGACAGGATGGTGAAGGAACGGGAACGATTAAACAAGCCATATCTCTGTCAGAATACTGTCCGCAAGAGATGAAGCAAATCGGAGCGAGAATACTTTATTTAACATTTAGTGTCAGGAACTTTAAAGTGTTTTTAACAGAATGTTACAGGCTTATAATAACAGAAGATCTGTTTGCTCCAAGAAGTCCTTCCACAGAGTGGTAATGTATCTTCAGGAGATTTTCTGGTTCTTAATTCAAGATGTCCACTGGAGATTAACGCATCTCACATTGGCAAATATTTTGACCCATGCATCCCTCAATATTTAGCGAGCTGTTTCTGTGCTACGCTGCACTTACAAAGCATGTGAGTTCAGTGAAGTAATATAATCTGAACTGTGGGTATTTTAGAGAAGAAATATAACTTCCCCTTGTTTATTTACTAAAGGCTTTTGACAACCAGAATTCAAAGGGTGCGGCTTTGTTACAGCTTCCTCTGCTTTAACAACTCTCCAGAGATGCTCAATGTGTTTTGGATCCAGAACTTGTGTGTAAGGTTCACGCTGCTCTTGACATTCTTCTTGAGCCTTATGTTGTTGTGTCCTGATCTGCGTCTCAAGACTGTTTGGCCAATATCAACAACCTGAGTTCAACTGCCTGCAGTGGCCCTCATCCTCCCTCATCCTCGCCTCACCCATAAACAGATCAACTACAACTTTGTCTCTTCTCTCCTCCTGTCACCTACAGGCTGCCAAATCATCTGCATGTATTTTTGCAAACATATAAGGACTGTAGGTTCTCTTGTAGTAGGGTAGTTGACAAATACTCCAAACTGCTTGTCCTGTATGTAGGGTAATGGGATGGTGGAGCTTATCTCAGCATCTCAGGACATTATTATAATAGATTTTATGTTATTAATATTTTATAGAAAATGTATAGAAAAAAACGCCATAACTGTTTTAGAGGTTAAACATATATCACACTGCAGGCATTTTAGGACAGTTTTTAAAAATATATGCTGATGATTATCTTTCTGTTATGTGGAGGCATGCAAGATTGGATAAATGAACAAGGGAAATAGTATAGTATAGATTTTTTATTTATATTTTTAGGGTAATATGTATTTGCAGTTCATAATAAGGATAGTCAGACTGCAGGACTATTTTCATGTTCAGTCACCTGAATTACAAAAAATAGTTTATATATGTTTATGGACAAAATATAAGAGAAAAAAAATTAAAAGGAAAATGACAGAAAATGTCAAGTCAACTGCTCAATAGGTTTGAAGGAGCCTCTTTTGTACCTTCTTTTGTAAGTGGAAAATATATATTTTGTGTCCACTAGACGGTAGAGATGAGTGGCTTTTCCTTATCTTCCCCTCACCTGACGTTGTCATTTAGTATTGGTTTGCAAGATATTTTCTAATATTATCTTTTAATACATATTATTATCTTTTAATACAGACCATCCAAACCACTGTTATCTCAGTTAATGTAAAGACTACACACAACGTTTTATATTCTACAGAATTTAAGCTGCAAACATTTTTGTTGTCATAATTCTTAACACACACACGAGCACGCACACACACACACACACACACACACAAAAAAAAATAAAAAATAAGAACAAATTGATTGATTGCAAAGTACAAAAAGTTGAGTTTAGGATGTCGAGCCTCATCTCACTCAGGACACACTGTCACAAACCGACCCATGAAAAATACCTTGTATACACATGCACCAGTGCTACAGAATTTCTCTCCCTGTGTTCCTCTCTCCCCCTTCCCTCCACCCTCTATCTTTCTGTCTCTCTCTCTCTATCAAAGGCTGGTTGTTCAGGCCAGAGTTTAGTTTCAGGGCTTTGGATTCAGAGAATGGCACCAGGAGGCTGGATGGGACGGCACACACTGTGGAGCATCTGATGGGATTATGAGCCTCTCACCTCCATTTCGGAGCTTTTCCCCACAGATTTTCAGACTTTTATGCAACTAATAAAATATCAGCAAATAAGTTTTGGAGCATACTTTTTTGTCAGGCATTTTTTTCCTGTTATGCTCTTCCTTTAAGGACTTTAAGGATTCAGCAAGGCAAACTTAAGAGTGTTGTGATTTCCCAAAGACTTTCATCCAGGACTTGGTGCACTGTAGAGGCTATGGTGAGCCTTTATGCTGGTGACATAGTGGATTTTTTAAGTTTATGTCAAGTTCCCAGAGTGCCGAGCTGAACTCTGTTGAATTTTTGTTCATCAAGATTGTCTCAGCACGATGTTTCTCAGCGGATGGAGACACTGGGAACATAGCGGACATGAGATGAGACGAGAAATCTTCTGAGGTGTTGCTTTCAGTTCTGACACATCCTTGCTGTCCAAAATCGGACACACTTTCCGAGTTTTAACTATAGTATTCAAAAGTTAGTGTAATTCTCTCTCACAATGAGTAAAGACCTTCGTTTCCCCAGGAAGGCAATGCAGGTGAACTATTCAACGCGGCGGCACTCATGCATTGGGTATGTATAAGCAACATTTATTAAGTTATGTGCTAAACTCAGTTCTAAAGCTTAATTTATTAGATTTTATTGATTAAGTAATGACCTTGGTGGAACTTTTTTTTTTTTTTTTTTGCAGAAAAGTGGTGGAACTTTTTTTGAGCAGGTTTTCTGAGCAAAAAATACCTTTGTTAAAGTGTCTGTGTTGCACCATGTCATTGTCCCATGTTGTAAATGTAATTTTTGCTGTGTTGATGAGCACTTGTACAATGTGAAATAACTACAGAATGAGATTTACACTCTGTGTGAATATGTTTTTTTCAGTGCTCTGTTCTGGTTGGTTTTTCTTGTGTAAGAGAGTCTTGAAGCAAACCAGTCCACTGGATTTCTGACATCACTAACATAAGCTCTGAAATGATGAGTGCACCTTCTAGTGGAGAGAGCTGCTCTGGATTTATTTAGACCTCCCTCTTCCTCTGCAACCACTGTTATACATAGTATGACAGCGTTA